CTGTCTGTCTGTCTGTCTGTCTGTCTGTCTGTCTGTCTGTCTGCGCGCGCGCATGTTTGCACAATTGTGTTTGTCACAGGACGGGTGGATGTTTGAACTGGTCTATGGATGCATGAATGTACAGGTGTGGTTTGTACAGATGTTTCGTTTTTGCTTGAGGTCTGTTTTAGTCATGCCCGTTTTTATGTGCAGAGCAAAGTTTTTATACAGTAATTGAACACCGAACACAGGCACAGGAACACAGCTGTGAGTCACGTGACACGTGAGGTTCACATGCTCCTGTGGTTTACAGCTCTTCAGCTGGTTTTGGCCTATCTCTCGGGTGCCATGGGCGCGCACGAGGAGGCGAACCAGAAAATTCTAGCAGCTGCTCGCATTGCTAGCTGCAAATCCAGTTGAAAGTCTTTGTTGTCAAGGTGTCGAGCAGAAGATGGAGTTTGAGGTGTGAGCTAGATTGCCTTCTCACAGGTGCCTGTTTTCTTTTCAAGACCAACAAGATATTGAGCGTGAGCAGGAAATCTCTATCGCTTACTTGGATGAGTCCATCAACCAGATTGAAACGTGCACAATCGGCTGAGATGCACTTCAAGGCAGAAAGCATGCCGCATGCCATTCTGTTCATGCACAATTACACTAGAGTTGGCTGCGGCTACCGTTGTGCTTGAGGCAGTAAAGATCAATACAGTTTGCTGGGCAACACTCCTTGGGCATGTTACTGGCTTCGCTGCAATCAATGCCTGGGGAACTTTGCAGCAGGCGAACCATTGCCCATGTCAAGCAACTCAGTCAACAACAGCTCTTGGAACAGATGTCAAGCGTTTTCTTGCAGACTAGGCCGTCCCCAGGAATTTGCTGTGCTGTGGGCTCATACCACTCGTCACTTTTGCTGGCATTTGGAGTAGCGCTGGCACGGTCTTGAATCCACATTGTGTGGGTGGACCATATGGTGTGCGAATGTGTGCCAGGTATTTACCAAGCCACAGAAAAGCTGCGAAAGATACAGATAGAGCAAGATGAAGAGGAGGCAGAGCGTTGTTGAACTTGGACCTTTCCTTTTCTTTTGCTGGAGAGTTCTTGACATTCATCAAGTTCAGCAAGCATATATATATATATACAAGGATCATCAAGGATCTATGCTTGATGTTCAGGATGAGTTTGAGGAACTTTGGGGTGAAGAAGTGGCTGAGACAGAGAATGATGTCATGTCACTGGCTGTGTCCTTCCTCCTCGTCCAGGCTTGCTCGGGATCTTGTGCAGTGCTTTGATTGTCTTAGTATGTGCTTATGTTCTTTCTTTCTTTCGTTCTTTTTTCTCTCCCTCCCTCCCCTCCCCTCCCCTCCCTCCCTCCTGCCCGCCCTCTTTGCGCGCGTCATGGCTGGCCTTCGGGGAGTCCTTGGCTGCCCTTGACTCAGGCTTTGCGCTTCTGCATCTCTGGCTACCTTCCAAACGCCGAGGCATAGTGCAACAATTTCGGAAGTTTGACGTTTCAATTGCAGCTTTTACTCAGGGAAATGACCCGAAGGGGTTGAAACAATCCAACCTAGCATGTGTGGGTGACCCAGATCGAACCTAGCAGCTTCCTGTGCCCGCCTTTGCACTCTCCTCGCTTCTTCGAGTTTTAAGGAACTCCTTCTCTTTGCAGCCTTCGTCTTTGGTGGCTTTGACATCGTGCAGATTTCTCTGCGTACGGTCCTTTGAAACCGCCTTACCCACGAAGAACACTCGCTTACTGTACTTGCTCGCCCTCCCAAAGTCCCCCAATATACATCCTTCAAAAAAGACACACGAGCTCGCCTGTGTGCCAAGGCAAGCTTTTAAAACTTGGAAATGAAGGTTCTGATGTCGAAGAGCAAAGAGTAAGTTACAATGAGCTGGACCAGGCCAAAGTTGGCAGAACGGAACCCATACAATTCTCCAGCTCGCACTTGTCAGGCGCACCGATATCATACTTGGTGTCGCGACATTCTAGCAATGGCTACAGAATAGCCGGCATGTTTTGCGAAATGGCTCTCCAGCGACTTGATTGATGCTTGTATTCTTTGCAAGGCCTGGTCCATTCATTTCAGCGTTGACTGGTGGCTTTCGGCGAACATTATGGCGGACCATGCCTCAAGCAATTGCAGGTTTCATCGCAATGAACCAGACAGGCAAGATTGGACTCAGCAGAAGAATTCTCAAAGATGTTGTATTTGGATGACATATTTTATCCACAGTTGGGGAAACTTCATGAAACTTCCACATATGAGCAGCCTTTCATTTATGTATACAAATGGGAAGCAGCCTGCTGCAAGAGGATGCCTCTTTTTGCTGCAGCCACCGTGCCCTCCTTTCAAAAACAGGTACATGTATGTATATACATGTTTCAGCTGTGGATTGGAAAACGAGTCGGCGCCCAAAAAACCAAACATGTGCGTCTATTTAAAGAGAAAAAACCAAGTCAAACATAAACCAGGAGAACCCCAACCATTCGTCCGATTCGGTTTCAATAAACAAGAGCCGCCGCTCATATCACAATACCGACCGTATAGTAGCATTGAGGCATCTAAGAACATTTTCCTGTATTGCATCGCCTGCTGTGGTTTGAAGGGCACTGTCTTCACAACATTGTCAATGCCTCAAAAACGTCTTCAGAGCGCTATCCTGGCTTTCACAGTGGAGTCCAACATGTTGGCACTGAGGCCTGCGAGAAGGAATTTAAGTAGCAGACAGCACATCGCCAGAATATAAAGCAGCACCTTTCCGGTGGCCTCCAAATACAAACGGAACCATTATCAACTAGGCATTCGGGCTTGCATGCGCGCGCGTGCGCGCCCCCCATTCCACAGAATCCAATGCACAATCTTCCACACACACAGACACACTTAGATAATGGGTTTGCAGTTAACTCTGTTCCACGAGGAAAGGAATGGCTCAACAGCAAGGTGAAGCGTCCGAAAATGTGAAGGTGTTTCAAACAATGTTGATGCGCATCTGCAACTTCGCGGCAGCTCACGTGGAAAGCGGCTGTAGGAAATGTTTAGGGGCATATCAAGAAAACCGACCATGGAACCAAACCAAAGAAGTGGACAGCGTGTGCAAAAGTTCCAAATGTCTTGCAGGTACACAATGCGGCGTCCCGCATTGCTTCACCACGAACTGACAGCGTCTTCGTTGGGCAATGTCTGTCAGTCGTGCATTGCCCCCCTGCACTTAAACAAAACTCTTCGGGACAGAGTGTGCACACACACAGAGCGCCGATGTCGGCGCTCAAGAGAAATTACTAACCACCTAAGAAGCCTTAGAAAGAAAGGAAAAGAAAGACAGAAAGAGAAACGCACAGGGCAAGCGGGAAAGATAGGTGTAGTTACGAGGCCCACTAGCTACGAAACCTTCTAGTTACTGACTACCTACAGTAGATGGACCAAATATTCAAGCCCATGTATCAATAACTGTCGCCAACCCCTGACCCCCAAAGGTCAATGTTGAACATAACTTGATTGAATTTGTGTTTCCAGGGTTTAATTTGTTTCGTCCATTCGCCGAAACATTCTTGCAAGACCTCTAACATTGAGCTTTGGGGTAGAAGGGGTCCACGTGGTTGAAAGGGTTTGAATATTTCGTCCATCTACGGTACTGGGTGTGGACGGCGACCGGAGACCTCACATGCGTGTGTTGTTTTCAAGTGATGCCGGGCGGTTCCAGCTACTGTTCTTACTGTTGCCATCTGCTGTGTCTGTTCCCAGTCCCTTTCCAGTGCCTTTTCCAGTGCCTTTTGCACTTTCTCGTGGCCTGCCAGCAAAAATGTGTTTCTGGTAAGTTTTGTTGAAACAAAAAGATAAGCTATCTCTTTTAGCAAAAAAGTGACATGGCAAAATCACTGGCAGGCGCACACAAACCGTGAAAAGGCACTGGAAAGGCACTGGGAACAGACACGGCACATGGCAACAGTAAGAACAGTAGCTGGAACTGCTCTTCATCTGGCTTGCTTTCCTGACGTCTGCTGTCCTCGCTCGCAACGTGTCGATGTGAAAGTGTTGTTGAGCACAGAAGATTAAACCGCAGAGTACTACGGATGAAGATGTTAGACTTGATACTTACGAGCCAAAAATATGCAAACGTCACACCTTTAGACAGTACTGGGTGTAGACGGCGACCGGAGACCTCACATGCGTGTGTTGTTTTCAAGTGATGCCGGGCGGTTCCAGCTACTGTTCTTACTGTTGCCATGTGCTGTGTCTGTTCCCAGTCCCTTTCCAGTGCCTTTTGCACTTTCTCGTGGCCTGCCAGCAAAAATGTGTTTCTGGTAAGTTTTGTTGAAACAAAAAGATAAGCTATCTCTTTTTAGCAAAAAAGTGAGTCACATGGCAAAA